TCCCAGGACTCCGGGGTCACCACCTCAGCCAAAGGCAGATGCTCAACCACTAGGCCACCCACGGTCTCCTGGGCAGACTTTATAATTCAAAATCAAGTGAATATGTTAGCATCTCTACACATGTAAGTGGATCTCCTTGTTTGAACATCATTTAGAAAGGTATTTAGCTGTATTTAGATTTTTACATTAAAAGATTTCTTTTCAAAAGCTAGACCCACCCATGAGGCCATGTTACCACTTGAGTATTACAGAAAACATGTTCACTGTATAGTTCGGATAACTGAACTTGATACTTCTATCCCAATTTAGCACGTAATTTTCAGCTGTTCTAGATCCAGTTTTCCTTTATCTTCTTAAGTGTTCTTTAATCCGTTCAAAATATTTCCTTGGCTAAGTGTCCATATTCCCTTCTGACACTTCAGTGCTCACCAAGCCCAATTCCTGCCATCTCAGATCTCTAGAACCCAGTGAGGCAGGTGTTGTCCTTAGACTGACACAGGACAGGAGAAAGGAGCAGAGGCACGGGAAGAGGAGCAGTCGGAGCCTGTCTGAATCCTTCCACTCATTTACTAGCCTTTACCTCAAGTTAACCTCTGACCCATGACATGGTCTTATCATGGGATTGTCGTGCAGAGGACAGGACATGCTTGAGATCATCACAGCAGTTAGCTGATGGAGGAAAATTAAGTACTTAAGCTCTTCACCCCACATGGGGCTTAAAACTCTTAACCCCAAGATCAGAGCTGCATGCCCTACCTAACCATCTGGGAACCCCCACAATCACTTTATCACCCATTCCTCACATGCTCAAAGGATTCTAATACATGAAAACTCCAAAACTTGAATACCAGTAACATCTAAACCTTAAAAATTCTATATCCATAGCTCACTTTCACTGCTGATAATTTGGGATCACTCGTTTTCTGGTTGATGGATCTTTGAGGTTTTTGCTATCTTTCAAGCACTGCTTTTAACATTCCCAGAGATGCACCCAGATGTCCATACTTCCTCTTGGGTAATTATAGGAACAGAACTGCTGGATTAGGTGTTCAATTTTTGTTAAGGTACACCAGCTACTTACCCATGTGGTGGTGTAACTTAACACTAATGGTCTTATACTCTTTCACTGGAGGACAGTTGGGGCTACGAAGTCTTTTCATCAACTCCTAGTCTCTCTTAAAACTGGGAGACAAAGGGTTAGATGTTCAGATGCCTGGCACTGAATAGGTGCTCTGAGGACTATTTTATAAATCCAAATAGGGGTCCTCTGACATTTCAAAGTGAACCAGTCTCCACACCAGTGCTCAGCCACCCCCTTCCCTAAACCCTACTTAAGTCAAATACAGGCTTGAATTAGGGTTTTAGTCTCTGTAAATGGGGACTCAAACCTGAATTTCCACTACTCCTTCACAGTATTGCTGAATTATAAACCCAGGGATATATCAGTATTCCACCTCAGATGGTTCAGCATAGCTCAAAAATTTGTAGCCAGAATTATACTTGGGATTTTTAAGATTTTATCTATTTATTCTGGAGACACACAGAGAGAGACAGACACAGGCAGAGGGAGAAGCAGGCTCCATGCAGGGAGCCCGATGTGGGACTTGATCCCAGGACTCCAGGATCACACCCTGGGCCAAAGGCAGATGCTCAACTGCTGAGCCACCCAGGGATCCCCTATACTTGGGAGTTTTTTAAGAGGCCTTGTTTGTACCACCACTACCATGGACTCTTATTCCTGTCAAAAGGGACAGACCTGGTTATCATGAACTCAAGGTGACCCTGACAAGGCATCTGCCCTTTTCCCACCTCTCCATGCAGTTCTAGAGGCAGTATTAGGTACATTCTTGGTGCAGCACCTGGCTGGTGTACTATTCCTCACCATGAGGTGGTGGCAGGGGGGAAAACCCAGCTGGCATCATACCAATAAAGGCTAAAAACTAGTGTTGCAGAAATGAGATCATCCTTACACAGAACATCTTCAAACAACTGAAAAACCGACAGCAACCAGGAGTTCAGCTTTTTATTGAGCAGCTTATAAAAGTTTAGTCAAAGAGACCAAAGCCCATGTCATCATCAGACTCCTCAGATTCTTCTTTCTTGGCTTCCACTTTTTTCTCCTCAGCTAAAAAAATAAAAACAGTAACACACCTTGTCAGTATTTTAAACTCCCAACGAGCTCCAGGCCTTCAATTTACATGGTCAAAAATACCCCGAGACTTCCAACTATGTCCCTGGTTTTAGGATTTCTATCGCCTACTCTTTTCAGCAAACTAAGTATTATAGGCAGGATTGCTCTTAATCTCCACGCTCCTCCCTCCAATACCAAAAAAGTTTTCTACCTGGGGCAGCAGCGGTGGAAGGAGCAGGACCTCCTGCTGGCGCAGCACCAGCTGCTGGCGCAGGTCCACCAGCTCCTACATTGCAGATGAGGCTCCCAATGTTCACGTTGGCCAGGGCCTACAACACACGTGCAAACAGATCACACTCAGTTCTGGCCTTTTGTTGTTACAAACCTCCCACCTCCAAAGGAACCTCCCTTTTGAACTGATAGCAATCAATCCCCAACACTATATTGCCCTTCCTTCTCCTTTGCTGCAATCTGCCAGTGACATTTTGTCTGCTGAGATTTCCTAGGACTTAGGGACACAGAGCTATATTAAAAACTAATCACAAGAAAACCTACTCAAGCTTTAAATCTTACAGAATAACTGAATTCCTTCCTTTTATAGAGGAGAAAAACTGGCCGCAAAATGCTGGCTTCAGTTGTTGGCAAAAAACTCAAGCTTCCTTAAATACTCAAACCAAGATTCTTTCCAGTTCCACATCTTAAGAGTGAATTCAATTTTTCAGAGTGCGAAGTCCAGGGACTTTATTAAAGAGGAGTACCTTTATTGAAAGTACAAGGTTTTCAATCATTCAAAGCTCTTTGGAAGACACAACCTGAAGAGACAAAGCTAATTGCCTCCTGCCAGAGACTAAGTAACATAATAGAAAATAATACAAGTTCCTTGTGTAGGAATCTTGTCTTCATTGATCTTTTTACATATATCCCAACAGTCAATGTTCAAAATAAGAGCCACTACATCCAATTTCCATGAAACCCGGTTCTGAGATCTAAATGTTCATGAGGTTAAAGAGTTTGACAATTTTATGAGGGACAGTTCTGCCCCTGGTTCACACCAATTCATGACCAAGTCTCTGCAGGGGCGGTTGGACACTCATCTCTGGGGCCTGTCACTGCTGTTTTTACCATTTCATTGTTGCACAAATTAGCCAAGAACTAATGGGAGTCATAGCTCTCATACAATATTCCTCTTCTTACATATAATACAGGACGCCGATCTCAAAGGTTATCCTAATGCGAATGAAAAAAGAGGATTTAAAATCTTATTTCCAGGAAAAATCCTTGATTAAAAAATAACTTTGGACATTGAGAAGAACCAGCACTTAAGAATCATAATCTGTGCTAATTTAGCCCCAGTGGGGATGCAAGTTACACTGTACTTTTATTTTTTTCTGATGGATCAATAAAATTGTTATGTATTTTAAAAAAAATGGAAGGGCATGGGCAGTATTACCTCCTGGGTGACTCTTTTAAGGAGTCATCCGGTGGGTGTATAACATTTATGTATACATGCACATATATATGTGTGTGTGTCATGATTTCAGAACAGAAGGAAAAAGAAACCAGACTGCAAACAAGAAGGAGAAGACAGGGGGACGGACGTGTGGGGTAGCTCAGCGGTTTAGCCCCTGCCTTCGGCCAGGGCGTGACCCTGGAGACCGGGGCGGAGTCCTACACTGGGCTCGCGGCATTGAGCCTGCTTCTCCCTCTGCCTGTGTTTCTGCCTCTCTCATAAATAAATCTCAAAAAAAAAAAAAAAAAAGGAAGTTAAAGACAAATTTCAGACTCTAGATATGGAACTATGAGCCCTTCTCGTGTTACAAGTACACCTGACTTTGTAAATCCCTGATCTCCCCAAATCTGCTTCTCCAACTCACTCTGCTGCCATTTCCTTACCTTTGCAAACAAACCCGGCCAGAAAGGCTCAACATTCACACCCGCTGCTTTAATGAGGGCATTGATCTTATCCTCCTAAAAAAATAATTTAAAAAATTAAAAAACAAACAAACAAAAAACCCGTATTCCATGAGCAAGCAAAGCGCAGTTTTCGGAAACGTCTCCAAACCACTGCAACTGAAAGTAAATCACTCAAAACGTGTGTCCAGAAACCACGTTTAACCGCACCAAATACTGTGTCTGTATTTCGCGTAGGTTTATTTAAAACGAAAAATTTCTCAGGACCCTTACGATCACCGGAGACCCAGCGGCCCCCGCGTGCCGGGCACCTCGCAGGGCGGCAGGTGCAGCAAGCGGACGTGCGCTCCATCCGCATCCCGCAGCCCGGCCCGGGGAGGCCGTCCGGGCAAACCGGTCAGGATGTCCGCACGCACGCACGCACGCACGCACGCGGGCCCGCCCTCCCCGCCCGCCGGCACGCACGTGGGCCCGCACGCACGTGGGCCCGCCCGCACCGACGCCGGGACGCCGAGGGCCGCGGCTGCGGCCGGAAGGGCCTACCTAGCAGGGCGCCCCGCCAGCGCACGGAAAGCGGCCGGCCGCAGACCGACGCCCGCCCGGGCCCGCACTCACCGTGACCGTCACCTCGTCGTCGTGCAGGATGAGGGCCGAGTAGATGCAGGCGAGCTCCGAGACGGAGGCCATGGCGAGGGCGCGTGCCGAGCGCGGTGCTAGTCGCCGGCTGAAGTGAGGGCCTCACCCCAACGCGGCCTTAGCTTCCTCGGAAGGACCGAGCACCTTAGCGGCAGCTGAGGAAAGGAGGTCCCGCGCCTGCGCGCAGCATCTTATACGAATCCCACGGACCAATCGGCGCCCGCTCCTGGCGGAAGAGGCGGGGCGAGAACGCGCCTGCGCACACAGCGCGACACGCTGGTGAGCGGGGTCAAGAGGTTATCAGGCACTTGCGGCTGCGAATTCTCTTGGTTGGGGTAAAACTCGGGGCTCCTGAAACAGTAAAAATACTTTTAGGAAAAAGTGACCTGAGTAAATAGAGTTCACCCCAGGTAGTGTATCCGGGGTCACGCTATTTGGACGTTTGATGACGTCACCAGGCCTCCCCCCCCCCCCCCCGCGCTGGCTGTGAGCACCAGGAGCTCAGCAGCCGTCTGCGGGGAGGTCTCAGGTGCTTAGGACAACGTCTCAGAGAAAAAACTGCAGGAGGAAAAGGGAAGCTTGCAGCAGCTGCAGCAGCTGCAGCAGCAGCAGCATCCGAGCGCCTACCGTGCCCCGGGCGCTGAGCCGCGGCCAGCCGGGATTCCCCGCATCCTTGCACAGCGCAGGGGGTGAGTACTTTTAGGGACCTACGTGTTAGGGATCTACTGGGAAGGAAGGGAAGCTTTCCGTGACAGTTGCATTTGGTATAACGAAGGCACTCCGTGTTTGGGTGGAAATGCCCCGAAAGTGCTCTTAAGATACCAAAGATGAGTTGAAGCAACCTCTCTTGTCTAGGTGCAGAATTGCCACTTTGTATCTTTTGAAACTTAATAAAATCGGTGTTGGATTCGTGTTGAGAGTTGTTGGGCTTTTTCTTTCTTTTTCTTTTTTTTTTTTTTTTGAGGTATGATTGACATGACATTTTTTATTTCCGGCGTATAGCATTATGATTGGATATTTGTGTGTATTGCAAAAATGGTAAGTCTTGGTTAACATACATCACTATACATAAATAACCATTTTTTTTTATCTTTTTTTTTTATTTATGATAGTCATACAGAGAGAGAGAGAGGCAGAGACACAGGCAGAGGGAGAAGCAGGCTCCATGCACCGGGAGCCCGACGTGGGATTCGATCCCGGGTCTCCAGGATCGCGCCCTGGGCCAAAGGCAGGCGCCAAACCGCTGCGCCACCCAGGGATCCCATAACCATTTTTAAGGTCTGCTTTCTTGGCAGCCTTTAAATATGATACACAGTCCTATTAACTATTGTCACCATGTCGTACGTTACACCCACAGTGACTTTTAACTGCAGGTTTGTAATTTTTGACCCCCTTCGCCCATCCCATCCCTCCCTCTGGCAACCACCAATCTGTTCCCTCTTTTTTTTAAAGATTTTATTTAGTTATTCATGAGGGACACACAGACAGAGAGAGGCAGACACACAGGCAGAGAGGGAGAAGCAGGCTCCATGCAGGGAACCCGACGTGGGACTCGATCCTGGGCCTCTAGGATCACACCCTGGGCCGAAGGCAGCGCTAAACTGCTGAGCCACCCGGGCTGCCCTCTTACAGGTTTTTGATTTGTGATTACCACTGGATTCATGTATAACATCTTATATATATTGCAGTCTATATTAAGTTTGAACACATTCTAAAAGCTCTAAATTTTTACTCTCCCTTCACATTTTATGTATATGATGTCATATTTCACATCTTTTTATTTTGCATAGGCTTTGGCTAATTTTGTAGATATAATTGATTTTACTACTTTTGTGTTTTAACTTCCATATGGGTTTTATAAGGAATAAACCTAACCTACTACCTTTATTGTATGTTTGGTTTTAGTTGTGAAATTTTTTCCTTTCATAATTTTCTTTTAGTTATGGCCTTTTTCCAATTAAAGAATCCCCCTTAACGTTTCTTATTAGGCCAGTTTAACTTTTGTTTGTTTGGGAAGCTTTATCTCTCCTTCATTTCTGAGCAATAACCTTGCTAAGTGAAGTATTCTTGTTTTTTTCCTTTTAGCCCTTTGAATAATATATCGTGCCACTGTCTTCTGGCCTGCATAGTTTTTTTTTTTTTTTAAGATTTTATTTATTTATTTATTCATGAGAGATAGAGAAAGAGAGAGGCAGAGACACAGGCAGAGGGAGAAGCAGGCAGGGACCCTGACATGGGACTTGATCCCGGGTCTCCAGGATCCCAACCTGGGCTGAAGGCAGTGCTAAATCGCTGAGCGACCCGGGCTGCCCAGGCCTGCATAGTTTCTGTTGAAAAATCAGCTCATAGCTTTATGGGATTTTCCGTTGTAACTTGTTTTGTTTCTCTGCTTTTAAAATTGTGTCTTTATCGGGATCCCTGGGTGGCTCAGCAGTTGAGCATCTGCCTTCAGCCCAGGGCGTGATCTTGGAGTCCTGGGATCGAGTCCCACATCAGGCTCCCTGCATGGAGCCTGCTTCTCCCTCTGCTTATGTCTCTGCCCCCCCCCCTCTCTCTCTTTCTCTTTCTCTCTCTGTGGCTCTCATGAATAAATAAATAAAATTTAAAAATAAAAATAAAACAAATAAAATTGTGTCTTTATCATCACTTTTTGCCATTTTAATTATCATGTGTTTCAGTGTGGACCTCCTTGTGTTCACCTTGTTGGGGGCTCTCTTTGCTTTCTGAACCTGGGTGTTTGTTTCCTTCCCCTAAGTGGTGAAGTTTTCAGCTGTTTTTTTCTTCAAATGAGTTTTCTGTCTTTCTTTCTCTCTCTCTCTCTCTCTCTCTCTCTCTCTCTCTCTCTCTCTCTCTCGCTCTGGCACTCCATCACGTGAATACTATTATACTTGATGATGTCACAGCTGTCTTTTCTCAGGTCCAGTGAGAATCTTTATGACCATTACTTTGAATTGTTTATCAAGCGTATTTGTTTCATTTAGCTCTTTTACTGTGATTTTGTCTTACTCTTTGATTTGGGACTTATCCTTGTCTCCTCGTTGTGTCTGTGTTTTGTGTATTAGGTAAATCCGCTATATCTCCTGGTCTTGAAAATAGTGGCCTTGTGTAGAAAAGGTCTTGTGGTGGCCTGTAGTGCAGTCCCCCCACCCCCACCATGGTAACCAGAACCAGGTGCTCAAGAGGTGTCCCCTTTGTGGGCTGTGTTGTGGCTGAGCTGCCATTGCCTTCAGCTCCGCTAGCTTCCCTTAGCTGCACTGCCTGCTGTGGCATCCTCAGCGTTTACTGCCCACTGTTGAGAGGCCTCTGCAGCAGCAGTGGGTTTCATTAGTGGACAGGACTGACAGTGCAGCTATCTACACTTAGCCTGTCTGCCCCAGCTGTGGGCACACCAACAGCCAAGGCTTGTTCCATGCAGTCGGCTGAGAGGCTCAGCTGCAGGAACTGTAGGCATGTTGGTGCATGAGCTTATTTCCACCATGCCTTAGGACAGGAGTCACTTTGGAGGGACACCTGGGAGGCTGGCAGTTGGATTGGACAGGTCTGCAGGAGAACACCGGGGTGTCAGATGGAGAAGCAGACTCCCCCACGTGGGGCACGATCCCAGGACTCTGGGATCATGACCTGAGCCACCCAGGTACCCCTATCTTTCATTGTATTAATGTGATATATTTGTTGATTGGCATATATTGAACCATCCTTGCATCCCAGAGATAAATCCCAGCTGATCATGGTGTATAATTCTTTTTGTGTTCTTGAATTTAGTTTGCTAATATTTTGTAGAGAATTTTTCCATTTATATTCATTAGGGATACTTCTGGTTTTCTTGCTGTGTCCTGGTCTCACTTTGGTATCTGACCTTATATAATGAGTTTGGAAGTATCCCAGCCTCATCATTTCTTTGCAGGAGTTTGAGAAGGACTGCTGTTAATTCTTCTTTGAAGGTCTGGTGAAGCCATCTGGTGCTAGGGTTTTCTGTGTTGGGAGGGTTTTGATTACTGATTCAATCTCTCTAGTCATTATTCATCCTTTCAGATATTTCATTTCTTCTTAGGCTTGGTGGATTGATGGTGTGTTTCTAGAAACATACCCATTTCTTCTAGGTGTCTAATTTGTTGATATGCAATTTTTTCATAGTAGTATGTATGTATGTCTGTAGTATCAGTTGTAATGTGTCCTTTTTCATTTCTTCTTTGAGTCTTTTTATCTTAATCTGGTTAAAGATCTGTTGATTTTGCTTACCTTTTTAAAGAACTTTTAGTTTTGTTGATCCTTTCTATTTCTCTGGTCTCTATTCCATTTATTTTTGCTCTGATTTTTTTTAAAGATTTTATTAATTTGTTCATGAGAGACAGAGAGAGAGAGGCAGAGACATAGAGAAGCAGGCTGCCCTCAAGGAGCCCAATGTGGGACTCGATCCCAGATCCCAGGATCACGCCCTGAGCCAAAGGCAGATGCTTAACTGCTGAGCCACCAGGCGTCCCTCGCTCTGGTATTTATAATTTCCTTCCTTCCGCTAACTTTGAGCTGGTTTCTCCTAGTTCTTTGAGGGGAAAGGTTATTTGTGATTTTTCTGATTCCTTAACATACGCATTTATTCCTATAAGCTTTTCTTTCAGAACTTTCACTGCATTCTATGATTTGATATGCTATATTTCCATTTTCATTTGTTTCAAAGTAATGTTTCCCTTTGATTTCTTGACACATTGGTTATTCAAAAGTATGTTGTGTCGTTTCCACATATTTTCAAATTTTCAATCTCCCTTTTGTTGTTGAATCCTAGTTTCATACCATTATGGTCAGAAAAGATAGTTGATGTTTTGTTTTCTTAAATTTGCTGAGATTTGTTTTGTGCCCTATCATATGATCTGGAAAATACTTCATGTGTACTGAAAAAGAATGTGTGTTATGCCCCTGTTGGTTAGAATGCTCTAATATTAAGTTCTTCTGTTCTATAGTTGTTTCTTTGTTGATTTTCTACCTGGATGATTTATTCATTGCTGACAGAGGGGCACCTAGGTCCCCAACTGTTACTGTACTGTCTGTTTCTCCTTTGGGATGTTAGTATTTGCTTAATAAATTTTGGTGATGCAATGTTGGGTGCATATATCTTTATTACTGTTTTATCTTCCTGATGTATTTTCCCCTTTATCATTATACGATGACCTTATCTCTTTTTATTGTTTTTAGACTTGACCTCTGTTTTGTCTGATAAAAGCATAGCTACCCCTGCTTTCATTTGCTTTCCATTTGCCTGGAATATCCTCTGCCATTCCTTCACTTTGAGCCGGTGTTGGTCTTAAAAGTTGAAATGAGCTTCCTGTAGGCAGCATATGGTTGGGTCTTGTTTTGCTCTTAACCACCGAGCTACTCTGTATCTTTTGATGGATGAATTCAGTCCATTTATATTGAATGATTATTGATCTTAAGGACTTACTACTGCCATCTCATATTTAGCCTTCTGGTAGTTTCTTTTTCCCCATGTTTCTGGTTGTCTTTCTTAGTGTGATGGTTTTCCACAATGATTTGCTCAGTCTCCCTTTTTTAATGTTTTGGTATACTTTTCTCTAGATTTTTGCTTTGTGATTGCCATGTGGCTTATATAAAACATCTAGGTCCTTTTTGTGCTGATAACACTATCTTCATATACAGTTTCCATCCTTTTAATTCTCCCCTTTTATACTTTTGGTGTCAGTTTACCTTTTTTTGCTGTGAATTCATTGAATTATAGTGGCTATAGTTTGTTATTGTTGTTCCTCCTTTTTAAGCTTTTATAAGTAGTTAGCACATCATTCTAAGACAAGTTTTCTAATTCTGTTTTTTCACCTTTGTCTAGAGTATAGGTCATTTCATATGCTTTTATGTCACTAATTAGCATCTTTCCATTTCAGCTTGGAGAACTCCTTTCAGTATTTCTTGCAAAGCAGGTCTAATGGCGAACTACATATAGGGAAACCCCTTATTTCTCCTTCATATCTGAAGTATATCTTTGCCAGATAAAGTGTTCTGGACTAGCAGTTTTTATTTTTCAACATTTTGAATGAGTCATTCTACTCTCTACTGGTCTATAGAATTTGAGAAACCCACCAATAAGCTAATGGAGGTTCCTTTGTAAGTTACTTTCTTTGTTGCCTGGGTGCCCCTGCCTTTTTTTAACAGATTCATTATAATATGTCTTGGAGATGATATTTTCACATTGAGATAATAGCATTCTGTTAACTTCTTGGACTTACTTCTCTAGTTCCTTCCCCAGGTTTGAGAAGTTCTGTTACTGTTTCTCTAAATACTCTCTGCTCCCCTTTCCCTTTCTTCTCCTTCTGGTAGACTGTTATATTTGTTTTTCTCATCCTATATGATAGCTTTTGTAGGGTTTTTTTGTTTTGCTTTGTTTTGTTTTAAATCTTAGCTCTCCTCTCCTGAGTCATTTCTAAATTCCTGTCCTCTAAGTCACTAATTCCTTCTTCAATCTGATCTGCCCTACTTGCTAAGCTCTCTAATGCATTTCTTCATCTCATTCACTTGTCAGCTCCAGAATTTGTATGGTTCTTTTAAAAAATTTAAAACTCCTTGGTAAAAAAAACGCCTCCTGTTCAATAATTTTGTTCCAAAACTGTATCACGTTTTCTTATAAGCTCACTTAATCTCTTTGATAGCTGTGAATTATTTGTCAGTTAAATCAGAATATTTTGCACCTTTGGGTTCAGTTGCTAGAGAATTTATTTTGTGATACCACACTACTGTGATTTTTTCCAAAGTGTTTGATTATGTGTACCTCTGCCATTGCATTTGAAATAGCACTCTTCCTTAGTTGTTTCCTTTGTTACAGTTCAACAGCTTGGCAATTGCAGACTTTTGTTTCCCAGAAGGTGGTGCAATAGCTCAAGCTTTTGGCTTCTCACCTGAGCTGGTTCTGCGGCTGCACTCAGGACTGCATAAAAATTTTTTAAAAAAGCCAATTCAGAAGCTGGCAACAGAGGTAGTGGGTGACGGGAAGTTAAGTGTGGCACTGGGTTTTGTGGTTACCTGCAGGCTGGTAGGGGGATCCTAGAATGGGAGTACTTGTTTGAAATCCCAAAGCAGACAGCAGGGAACATCCCTTTAGTGTCCTTTGATGTTTTGTCTCTGTGTCTTTCCTCTCCCTCTCCCCAGTCAAGGTCCTCCTCCCTGCTCAAAGCTGTACTGCTGGGGGGATCCCTGGGTGGCTCAGCAGTTTAGCACCTGCCTTCAGCCCAGGGCATGATCCTGGAGTCCCAAAATCGAGTCCCTCATTGGGCTTCCTGCATGGAGCCTGCTTCTCCCTCTGCCTGTGTCTCTCATGGATAAATGAATAAAATCTTTAAAAAAAAAAAAAAAAACCTGTGCTGCTGGGGAGAAATGGGTCCCTGGGCAGAAGAAATACCCCATTTTGAAGCTGTTCCTTTCTATGCTTTAAAACAGGTAGCGGGCAGCCCCGTGGCCCAGCGGTTTAGTGCTGCCTTCAGCCCAGGGTGTGATCCTGGAGACCCGGGATGGAGTCCCGCATTGGGCTCCCTGCATGGAGCCTGCTTCTCCCTCTGCCTGTGTCTCTGCCTCTCTCTCCCTCTGTGTCTCTCATGAATAAAAAAAAATCTTTAAAAAAATAAATAAATAAAAACAGGTAGCTCCAACATGAGAGAAACCTCTAGTTCTTTCTTCTAAATCATTCCATAAATGAGTATCAGTTCAATGTGAGGTATGTGTTAATGACTGTCACACAACATATTTCTTAGTGTTTATTTTAATTCTTTTGGTATATCTAAAAGGTCAGAAAGTGTATATATACATACAGAATTCAAAACAACTTCCTAACATGGTTTTAGTATTGGCGAGTCACTGACATTCTTATTTTGAAAGTTTGAATTGTCAAATATGTCTAAAGTGCATTCTTGCAAGCTAATCTATAGCAGCATTTGTTTTGTTTATAAAACCCTAAGTATTCAGACAAGAGCTGGAAAAGTCACAATAAAAAAGTGTGGTCTATATATATATATTTCTTTAATCACCCAAGACAAAACAAAACACTTGTGCGAATTAGTTATTAAGTATACAAGAAATATACAAAACAAGAGCATTATAAAAGTTCATATAGCAAGGCATAGAATATAAAAAGTGTGCTGAATCCTAGGTATCTTTGGAACCATTGATCTGCACCAGTGTATAATGTATCTGAGGTCTGTGATATTCAACAAAGCTGCAGTTCTGCAAGATGATTCAGAATACTCCTGGGATGGCTTTGGAGAAATCACCAACACAAATGAAAAGATGGTCGGGTCATGGTTTCTTGCGCCTAAAGTGTGAAAACCAGCATTTAGTATTGACACATTCATGTACTCGGATCTCCTAGGAATGCCGTCTTTACAAGGTCTCCTGTTTTATCGTGGGAAAGTTCAAACCTTGAGAAAGCAATTAATGGTTGCTGCATATCCAGTATTAAATTTAAAAAGCAGGATTCTTGCCTTCATCCTATTGCAGTGATTTTCCAACTTGCCTAAGGAATATGTGTTAAAAAATGGACTCACAGACTGAAAAGGTAGATATCTGAAAAGGGGTTTTACTAATGTGGAAAAAGAATGGACCAGACTCTTGGGTGTGCACTTAATAGAAGAAAAGGTATGATTCCTTCCCCTACCATAAATTCCACCACTCAGTTTTATTTTAGCGAACATTTACCACTATAACGAGACAAGGAGGTATGTTCAGAGACTGAATTACACGAAGCTGACTAAAGCCTCCAGCTTCCCTCCTTACAGGGTGATCTCAGTCTAGCCTTGAAGAGCTTAATGAGCATTAGCAAAGTATGAATAAGCATGGGTATCTTCTTCACCTGTCACCACTCTTACCAAGCCTTCTGAGGTTCTCAGCCCTGCTGCTGCAGTCTGCTAGAGGGCCCAGATAGTCTAGGGGGTAAACGGAAACCACGTATGTCCTCTTACAGTGGGTGGTAGGGAGAAAGGGTGGTAGTAGAAATACCGTAGGAGGGAGGACACACACAGAAAGGCCTAATTAGTCAGGACTCACTTGGGTTGTGCATGATGCTGGTAGCCAGGTCCCAGCTGAGATCCTGCTCTCATCTCCACAGCCACCGAACACTGAGAGGAAAATCACAGGAGAGGAAAAGATCAGCTCCTCTCTGTAGTCTTTAAAACCCAGTTCTGCTCAGATGGGTTCAACCAAGGTGGAATTGCCTTCTAGTGCAGCGCAGCCACCAATGTTAAACTACCAGATACCTGCAGTTTATTCGACACGGGCCACAAAGATGGTGAGCTGCAGGGGTCTCTAGAGATCATGAAGGTAATTTCCTTGAGGATGTTAGTGGCCAGGGCTTGGCCTCCTACCACCACCCACCCTTCCCATGCTCTTTCCAGAGGAGCCTCTCATCAAGATTAACAGTTCCACAAGGAAGCTGTGCTTCTGTGAAGGTTCCCACCATAATGCTAGAGTGATACGCTCTGAGTTGACTCTCGGGCCCTAACCCACTATACAGAAGACAGGGACCTTGAAGCAGAGAGCTCCAGGAGGAGCAGATCTGAACACAAATGAGTCTCTTGGCAGGTTTGCTGGGAACATGTGAGATCAGACCTCGGCTGCCTCTGAGAGCAGGAAAAGCTGGAGCCAGGGGGTTAAGATAGGTTGCCTCTAATTTTTATGAAGCAGATGAATATTTCACTTTTACCCCTACCCTTGTTTCTACATCAGTCCATTCAGACTCTGTACCATCTGGTGGGGCAGGTGCTGCTGTGGGAGATCTTCGTTTTCGGCTGTGGAGAAAAGGGAAACATGATGCAACAATTAGTTTTGTATCAAAGAACAGGAAAAATATTAGGAATAGGGTAATATCACTACAATCCTTCAGATAATTAACGATACATCTTACAGGATATTATGTTCTACAGGAATGAGCAGCTAAGTAAACTACAGCCCTCTAAAGAGATACATCTGATGATCACTCACCCAGTTGGCGATTCTTGTTTTAAAGTCTCAATATCCGTAAACTGAACAGATTGTCCACCACCTCTTGTCTTGAAAACATCACCCTGAAACCAAGAGAAAAGGTCACCATTACACTTTGATATACCCAAATGATAAACATATATTTCATACTTGATCTTAGCCAAAGAGAAGTGATTGATAAACATATATTTCAAACTGAACTTAAGATTCTACATGAAACAGTAAAGCCCTAATCACAAACACAGATGGTGCTTCAGACTGCTGGGTATTTACTATTAAAATACTTTAGAAATTATCTCTCACTAAACAAAAGTCCAATGCAATATAATCCAGAACATTCTTAAATTGCAAAAACCAATATTCCTTTTTGTTCAATCTATAATTTAAAAACTATACCGAGGAACAAGAAATCTACCAGAAATTTCTAAACGTTCTAAGGCATATTTTCTACTGGGTATAACCACTCCCCTCATATTACAGTCTTATTTGTAACTTATTATAATTAAGAACCATCCTCTAAATTAAATCTGAAATGAAAAGCGCTTTTTTTCCCAGTTACCTTTTACTTCCCTGATTATTCATTGACTCTTTGATCAGAGGAAAATTTTTCTACAGGCAGGGAAGGGAAAGGGCTCTGGGTAGCTCAGTAATAAGAAATTTTGAGAGGTCACATTTGAATGTGGCCTTTTTATCTGGAGCTGACAAATGGTAGTTCTTTGGGTTTACTCTTAAAGTAGTGGTTAAAATTAACTCTACAAGTACATAGATCTGGAGTTCCTCCAACATAGAATCCTGAGAATCTGAGCCTCATTTGGTAAAGAGCAGGTGATTTAGTCCTAGTTTAGCAGATTTACAGCCTGACCAGTTCCTTTAGTTTTCTAACGAACAAACAAAAAGGTTGTATCAACACCCATTTATCTTCGTTAACACTGCCTGTGTGTCATCAAAGGAACAGAAGAGTAAGTGTTTTTTTTGCGATGTTGACTTTCTGTATGTTTTTTGTCCTGTGTCAATTTTTTTTACCTTGATTAGTTTAGTTTCAATCTCCCCATCGGAGGCTAGTTCTTGGTGGGTCAGCATGTACTTCTCACACTTAGCTAGTGCCTTTTCATTTGCAACAGATACTGTGATGGCATGAGGGACATGTGGCTGCATGACTGTTTCAGTTTGCACGTTAGAGGCAGGCTTATGATCTACCCATCTGTCTCCTGCAGAGCGAGATCGTCTGTGGCGGAGACGAATTGGTGGTACGTTCTGATCAGGTTGAAAGAGGAATCAAGAAACAAGCATAACCCAGAATTAATTGAAGGGTATTAGAAGTGCAGCAGGTTTGGCTATGTTAGTTGATGACATTATCAAAACAAGTGCAGAGACCTTTTCAAAAGCTAAATATATTATTCAGATAATTTAAATGTTCTATTTGTATTTAACCACAGAACCAACAAACATCTTTTAATACCAGCTTGTATATTATACATTCTACCAAGGAGCTTCCCCTTTCAAAATAATGGAAAAGTTCTGGTTATGCCACCAGGCTTTCCTAAGTAGGTGGTATTCAAGAGACTTCTGTATTATATCCTCTATCAAAGCCATTATTTGTGCCTGCTATTGTAAAATCATTTCTTAAGTCAACAACTATGTTAAAAGCTTCAAATAAGGACAGTAAGAGAGTGAAACATGTCACAGGCCTCTAAACTAAAGAGAAAACACTCCATATTCAAAGACAGTCAATTGATCAATGCTACTGGTCTATATGGTACAATATGCTAAAGAACATTAAGTATAATAAGATGTATAAAGAGAATATAAATGAAGTATTTCTGACTACTTGAGATCTTAAAATCTCAAAAAGAATTTCAAACACAATAATGGCTAAAACATACCAATTTTTTTTTCCTCAAACATTTCATAAAGATTCCAAGAATGAAACTAAAAATGTAGTATCAAATCAGCCTCTATCAATCATACAATAAAAAACTAGTTGCTTCCAGTCAACTGTCATATGAATCTGGGAAAGTTAAATTTAGCACAGTCAGTCTAAGGCAAAGTATTTCACATACAGGACATAGTTCCAAAGATAACTCATTGCTTCAAACATCTCCTGTTTGTATAACTGAAAGCAAATGAAACAGTCTGTCACAGGCCAAGATCCTCCAAACTGGTCACGTATGAAGATCCCAACTTTAACATGCCTGTCTGGAGAACTGAAGCATTTCCCCTATAGAATCAGAAGCAACAGTCAAAACGCTAATGTAAGTCATGCTACTACAGAACCTGGAAAATAGAGTTTGCCACAAAAGATGCCCAAGTCTCCAGCAACAAGGAAACTTCCTGTTCTTAAAGTGGCCTAACTGGGGAGCCTTGGTGGCTCTGTCACCTAAGTATCTGCCTTGGGCTCAGGTCACGATCTCAGAGTCCTGGGTTAGAGCCCTACACCAGACTGACTCCCTGCTCAGCGGGGAGTCTGCTGCTTCCTATCCCTCTGCCTCTCCCCGCCCACTCATGTTCTCTCTCACTCTGCTCTTTCATATAAACAAATAATCTTAACTAAAATGGCCTGATGTTGAACAAGAAAGTCATGCTCTTGTGACCTACCAGTTAGCAAAGTTGATAGTTTTCCTGAATACATTTAGCAATACATACATTATGAAGCAAGCTTCAAAAAGAGGATAGTTAT